GCTTAATGAAGTCAAAAAAGTACCAAAACTTGGGTAGATGGTATACAATGATATCTACACAACATGCTGCTGTCTTAGATGAACTAACATCAGCATTTTCAAAGAAAAAAGACTCATCAAAGCCCAGTTCTTCAACAAATGTAACAGATGAATCCAACAAAAAGCAGATAGCTAATGGAGTTGTTAATTCCAATCGCCCTGAATTTGATCTTCCACATGCTGAAATGGGAAAAGTTTGTCTAAGATTTGCACCAGAACCAAGTGGGTTTCTCCACATAGGCCATGCAAAAGCAGCTTTATTGAACCAATATTTTGCTCAGAAATACAACGGGAAAATAATCCTAAGGTTTGATGACACAAATCCTGCAAAAGAAAGCAACGAATTTGTTGATAGTCTTATAACAGATGTCGGGACTTTAGGAATTAAATATGAAAAAATCACGTATACTTCCGATTACTTTCAAATTCTCATGGAAATGGCTGAAAAGTTGATCAAAGAAGGAAAAGCATACATCGATGACACCCCACGTGAACAAATGAAACACGAGAGAATGGAGGGAATAGAATCAAAGTGTCGGAATCAGAGCATTGATGAAAACATCAAACTATGGAATCAAATGATCCTCGGAACGGAAAGAGGATTACAATGTTGTTTAAGGGGAAAATTTCCAAGCATGCAAGATCCGAATAAATCAATGCGGGACCCGGTTTACTATCGGTGTAATCCAATGCCACATCACCGAATCGGATCCAAGTATAAAATATATCCGACGTATGATTTCGCGTGTCCTTTTGTTGATTCTTATGAAGGGATTACACATGCGTTGAGATCTAGTGAGTATCATGATAGAAATCCTCAGTATTTCAAGGTTCAAGAAGATATGGGGCTTAGGAAAGTTCATATTTATGAATTTAGCAGATTGAATATGGTTTATACACTTTTAAGTAAACGGAAATTACTTTGGTTTGTTGAAAATAGAAAGGTTGATGGATGGGATGATGCACGTTTTCCAACTGTTCAAGGAATTGTTCGCAGAGGTTTACAAATTGAAGCTTTGATACAGTTTATACTTGAACAAGTAAGTATAATATTTTGATTTTAATTTTAATTTTCTTAAAATAACACTTTTTTTTTTTTTCACAGGGGGCATCGAAGAATCTGAATCTAATGGAATGGGATAAGCTATGGAACATTAACAAAAGAATCATTGACCCTGTTTGCCCTAGACACACTGCAATCATTGAAGAAAACCGTGTGTTGTTGACTTTATTAGATGGGCCCCACAAGCCATTTGTGCGTGTCTTACCAAAGCACAAGAAGCACCCTGCTGCAGGGGATAAAGCCACCACTTTTACAAAAAAGATTTGGATTGAACAAGTTGATGCTAAGGCTATAAACCCAAACGAGGAAATTACGTTAATGGACTGGGGAAATGCGATTGTTAAAGAAATCAAGAAGGGCGAAAACGGAAATGTGACGGAATTAATCGGGGTTTTGCACCTTGAGGGATCGGTTAAGACCACGAAACTGAAACTCACGTGGTTGCCTGAGACTAATGAGCTTGTTCCATTGTCTCTTGTGGAGTTTGGATACCTAATTACTAAAAAGAAGGTATGATGTGTGAAAAGACAAAAATGCCCTTGTCATTATCATGATTGAAAATGTGTAGGTATAATTGATTTGTGTGTTGATGCAGGTGGAAGAAGATGAGGATTTTGTTGATGTGGTGAACACGGATTCAAAGAAAGAGATTGGGGCTCTTGGGGATTCAAATATGAGAAATGTGAAACGTGGAGATATAGTGCAATTGGAGAGGAAAGGTTACTTCAGATGTGATGTTCCTTTTATAAGACCTTCAAAGCCGATTGTGCTCTATGCTATTCCAGATGGGAGGCAAACTGCAACCAAATGATAATAATAATCTTATCTCATCATTTCTCTACCATTTCAAAGCTTCCTTTTATCGGATGTTGTTGAATTGATTTGTTAGTAAACATGTATTACAAGATTTTGGACTGATTGTGTTATCATTTGATTTGATATTTATTACCCTTTTTAATATTGCAGTTATTTATTTTGCTATTTGATATTTCAAATTTGTCCATAACTTTCCCTCTTACTAAAAGCCACGGGTTAAAGTTTTTTTTTTTTCTGGTAGTAGATGTTTCTGCAAGTTTGGATCCGCCTTGTGTGGATTAGAGAATAGTTTAGTCCCCTGGTTCTGGTATGTTGGAATATATCCGACAAACTTTTGATTACAATTTGTGAATTGTGGATTCAGTAGTAGGTTTATTTTTGGGGGCATTTTCTCCTTTGTTTCATGAGATCACCTAACTTTATGAATTTTGAAAAGATCATAGGCTTGCTTAATGTAAGAATCACTTCATGCGAGAGTGATGTTAATAAGATCGTTGGATTCGAGTTGGCTTGCCGAGCCCTGGGTGTGCTTCCCTAATTTCGGGCTTTCCAGTCTTTCTTCAATTCGTCCACCCAATCTGGCGTTCATACTTAATACTCACGCGTTTATTGTTAACTAGAAGACACCTTGGAAGAACTGGTAGGACCGGTGGCTGTGGGTCAACAACGACCTGATTCTGGCTATCCCCGCGTGCCTATCCCTTTAGATCGGGCGCCTCAATTGTCGGGCACCAGTTTGTCCGCGGCTCAAACGTTGAGGGGGATCTGCTTTGACGGGGAAGATTAGCAGGATTGCTTTCTGGCGGCAGCCAGGAATGATGCCTCAATTTTACGTGGAGAAGGACGGTAAGTATCGTTCCCCCCCCCCCCCCCCCCCCGCGCGTTTTGATAGGCTTCCCTTGGGGAGTATAATAGTTGTTTGATTCTTGTTGCTTCAATTGCAGGTATTGAGAGGGTTCTATCCCTCGAGGGGGTGTTGCGTCGAAATTTTAAGAGTGACCTTCAGTATCGCGAAGTCCCTTTGGTGGAAACTCTTCCGCCTCCTGCCGACGCTGTTCGGGTAGCCGTATCCACCGTCCCATCCGCTGTGACAGGGGAGGGATCTGCCAATCCTTTCTGTTGACGTATCCCAGCGGGAATCCGTCAAAGATAACAGAACCGCTAGTTTGACAGACAGATTTGCCAAGGAGCAACGCGTGACTAACGTCGGGCCTTCGCCCTCGCCTTCGAGACCCCGTATACCTTCCTTGGTGGCCAAGCGCCAAGGCTAACGTTGAAGACAAAACAGTACCAAGAGTTCCCCAGAGCGACAGGTGTAGTGCTCTGTAGGCCTTGCGAGGCGGTCCAGACGTGCCGAAGGCTCGGAGAGCGGTCCAGATAGGCTGAAGGCCTGCGAGGCAGTCCAGTCAGGCTGAAGGCTCATTATGCATGATGTTTGCTTATATGTTATTGATATGTTTCATGACGTTGGTATTTTGGGGGTAACTCACTAAGCCTTCGAGCTTACATTTATCGATTATTGTTTTAGGTACTTCTGAGGATCGCGGGAAGGCGAAGGCGTGATCGTGCACCTCCTTACGTTTTTATGATTTAATTATGGAAAACTCTGACATTAAACCTTTTTGAAAACATGTTTGTAATAATTATTGGTTTTTTGAATGACTTAAAAAGTTTTAAATTGGCTTGAATTTTATGGATGTTACAGCGTCCCAGGCCATGAAGAATTCTTAGTCACAGGCGCCTTCGCCCAGGGGCTACTCCCAGACCCTTGTCAAGAAAAATGCAAGGCACAGTACCGAAATCCAAAGACGAGCTTAAATACAGGGTCAAGAAATACCTTCGACAGATCGAAGGAGAAGAACAAAAACAAGAAAATTTAAAGGTTGTAGTGAACGCCTACCTCAAACAAGAATCAGCCGACTCCTACTCCCGCCACAACCATAAAGAGCACAACGATGGAAACCACGACAAACAGAGCAGACATTCGAGAAATTCCTCCCGCAGATTCCACTCATTCGTCAAAGACGATCCGAGGAGCCACAGGTCGGAAGTATACGCTGTAGAAAAAACCCCATAGCGGACGGAGAAGGAAAAAAGCAAATACTGTGAATACTACAAGAGCAAAACACATGACACCGGAGAATGCGCGATACTCAAAAGAGAAGTAGCAGACAAGAAATTGAACAGAGACCTAACAGAAATAGCAAGGACCCTACGGTCAAAGTTCGAAGCTGACCAAAAAGATGGAAGAACCCGTAAGGAATCAAGTAAACAACCAATCAGAAATGAGGAGATTTTCACAATAGCGAGACCTAAGGATCGAGACAAGTACCAACGGCCGGCCAAAGGCGATGCGATCCCACCCGAAGGCACTCTAAACATCAGTTTCTCGCCATCAGACCTGCGAGTGCCCGACTGGGACCCAACAGATTCAATCATAATCCCTGCCACGGTCATACAATAGAAGACCTGGCGAGCCTTAGTCGACGGAGGTAGCAACACAGATATCCTTTACGAACACTGTTTCAAAAATTCCCGCCATGCTGGAGAAGGAACCTGAAACCCCCAACCCATGCACCACTCGTTGGCTTCACGGGACACAAGTTGTGGCCAATCGGCACCATAAAACTACCATTAACTATAATCAGCACCGATGGGAAGGAACAAGTAACCAGGATCATCAAGTTCTCGGTAGTCAAGTAAAGGTCCGATAACGATATAATCCTTGGGCGCCCGTCTCTTTTTCAATTACAGGCTATCCCATCTACAATACATGGCACAGTCAAGTTCAGAACAACCAAAGGTTTAGCAACGGTCACAGCCATTAACACACAAGCAAGGCCAATCCGGGCAATCGCCGCATGGGCCATCGCACGCATCCCAAAAAGAAGACAGACCATGATACTCACATCCCAAATGGTCAAAGACGAGAAGAAAGACACCCACACCACCGATAAGAAGAACAAGCGCAAGCCCCAGGATTGTAGCCCTGGGGGAAGGGTGCGGTAGCAATAACATTACCACGCCAGATACATTGCGTATTGTTAGCACGAATACCAAGAAGGTCTGGATACCACTAAGCATGCCCACGCGCCTTCGCGAAGTGAAGACACAAAGTACGAAGAAGAAGTCTGACAGAAAACAAAACCAAGGGATCGCAAAATCCGGGGAGGGAAAGATAGGGAACCACCCTGCAAAAGAAGATACAGACAGAAGGCTGCCAGCAACGGCAAGAGCCTATAATTGGAAGAAGCCTTCCCCAGGACGGCACCTGGTCCAAAACCTTGCGAAAAATAGAATCAATAACAACAATGCAACACCAGATGACACGAAGAAGAAGAAAGGCACAGAGTAAGAAGGACCAAGAAGAAGAAGAACTCATCCCGATGACCTGGGATCCTCAGGGCCCAAGCCAATGGTCCTAGCTTGGAAGGAATCAGGAGAAGGGGCTATGTGATCAAACTCCCACCGGATAATCACACCCCAACTAGCCAGTACAAGACCTAGAAGTAGAATAACATCAGCTATCGAACCCTCGATACCTACCTAAACGATGTAGGTGTCTCCAAGACATCAAACAAAATATACATGCAATGAAAATTTAGAACGGACAAGTATCAATATCTTTCGTACAAACGGCAAACAAAAACGGACTGATCATCCGTGCTGCATAACAATAAAATCATGGAGGAAATCACAATTGTAAGCCCCAAGGGCTCATAATTTCCACCCAACAAACATGTCAACAAGGTCAGTAGAGCCACAATTCCTGATCATGACAAACAAGAGGCTTTAAAGGATCATAACCTTTCCCTCAAAACATATAAACTCCCAGACTTCGAGGTGATGAACTCGGTCTGGTTTAGATGACAAGGGCCAGAGTGCAACTCTCCTTGGCCCGAGGCATAGAAAAAGGCCCCAAAACAAAGACCTTTAGCTAAAAAAAGGACGTTCCAACGAAGCAGGCCAGCTAGGGCCCACACCTAAAAGCCAGCCAAATCCTCAGACTACGAGGCCGGGCCAAAGGATGAACGACAGGTTCAGATGCTTGGGGTCATCAAAACTTGTCAAAACAAATAACAACCACCCCCAAAAGGGTGACACTAACCTCTGGGAAGAATTCAAGCCAACGATGGCCAACATAAACCATCAAACACAAGGACAACACAAAACAATAGTGTAACAGACCAAAAGAAGGGGAATTTAACATACACAAAATAAATCGTCTACCCGGACAACCCTCTGGGATTTGCACAAAGACCACGTAGGGCTAAAGAAAAGCAGTGAAACATTGTTTACGTACCAAACAAAATATAAAAATTGTCTTGAAATATTCAAAGAAGAAATAAAAGCCATCACTTACTACGGGAAGCACCAGTATGAGAAGAGCCACCTTTGACCTGACTATCCTCGGCATCAGAGTCATCACATAACTGGCGAAGGCATACCATGTCAAGCTCGCCCAGGCGGAGGTAGGAGGCAAATTTTGTCTCCATAAATGCTTTCACAGTAGCGTTCATCGCCTGAGTATGCTCCGTGGTAGCAACTGCCTCATTTTTTCAGAAAGACGAAGTTAAGCCGGTGACATATCACAACACTTTCGGTTCTGGTTTGCTGCCTCACTTTTTCGGGGGCCTTTCGACCAAGGGGTCTTCTGCCGATAGTGGATGGGTGATCCTCAAGCAGCGGATGGCGTCGGTGCATTCTACGCTTGCAGACAGTGTGGGTGCCGATACAATTGGTAAACGCTTGTGCAAGAGACGCAACATCAATTATTTGCTCGTGGAATCCCCCTTGGTGATTGATATTGCTAATGACGAGATTCCTCAGCCATTGGAGGGAGTGAAGCAGGGGGCAACTGAATTGCCTTGTCAGTCAGAAGGAGGGGCGAGGGGCGCGACTTTAGGTTCTGGTTCATTTCCCATCCAGGGTGACGTTTTCTCCGGCGCTTGTCCTTGTCATTGGGTGCTCCTAGTGTATATCTCCCCGAGTGGAATCTCACCCATGGGTCACTCTTGGCAGAACATGCCAGTGCCCGCGAGTAGTGTCATCATAAATTTCCTCTGGCCACTTTGGAACCACTGAACCTCCTTTCTTACTCCCAAATGGAAAGCGAACTTCAGTACGCCACGAATCAAGTTGCTCCTTACTTGGTGGCTGCAGCCGATCGTCTTCGTTATATTGGAGCCGACTTGGCGGAGTTGGCCATAGTCAAGGCTGAACGTGACGAACTTGGGGAGAATGTGTGGCTCTTTGAAGAGGAAAGACACAAGTTTGACGAGCGCTATACCGTTTTAGCTAGGGATAAGTCCGCCATTGAGGATCAAGTGGCGACCTTGGACAGGGAAGTGGATTGCTTATCTCAACAGGTGCAACGTTTGGAGGCAGATAAGGAGACGCTGGAAGGTCGATTGAGGTAGTAGAGCAAACAGCTGGCAACTGATGCATTGAAAGGGAAAGCTTTAGAGGACGAATTGGCCTGGGTCCTCAAGAAGGGGGTGGTCCGTGTGGTGGAATGTGTCATTGAAAGCGACAAGTTTTCTCTTGGGATTCAGCGCATGAAGGCTGCGTGTGTGACTGCCGGTATGGAGAGCGGTAAGCAGGCAGTATAGAAGCAGTTGGTTGCCGACAATTTTAATCCGTCGGAGCCAAATGCTGTGACCCAATCTTCCCACACGATGCATGCTTCCATAAAGGCCTTTGCTGAAACAGACTTTAGATCATACCTTCGCTCGGGCAAATTGGACCTAACCGACCTTCGTCATATGTGTTGTGATTCTGACTCCAAAGAACCTGCCTTGGATAGTGGACCAGGGGGTGTTGGTCCTCTTCTCCCCCTTATACTAATTGGGTCTTCATTGTCTCTGAACAATATTGTTCGTTTATTTTTGTTTTTTTTGCAAGTTTGTTCATGGCCCTGCATGGCTTTTAAGTCCGAGGGGTGTCCGGTAAACACTATTTATTATTGTTTATTTTGGTTATCATGGAATTTGATGTTACTTAAGTCTTGCTCGCCTCGCTATCCAGTGGTTTGTGTCTATTATTGGAGTATGCGTTTCCCCAAGGTTTTACCGTTTTATTAGGTTTGCTCAGCTTGTGTTTTTTGGGGATCATGCTTGTTTGAGGTCCCTTAGTCCCGTCCCCGGAGCTTGCACTCGGAGTTCGGAACTGGTCCCCCTTTGAGTCATGGACCTATGCTTTTTAGGCCAAGACCTTTTGGCTAACCTTTGGTTATGAACTCTGATTGATTCATTTTGTTAGGGTGTCCTTTTTAGCTAAGGTTTTTTTATTACCCTTCTGGGACTTTGTTCTAAGTCCCGGACCAGATAGTGTTATACTCCGGCCTTAGTCATCTAAGTCGGGCCGAGGTCGTCACCTCGAGGCTTTTTGGACTTAGGTATCATATTTTGTGTGCCAATGGAAAGGTTATGAGCCTTTGAAGCCTTTATTCATGTCATGGCCAAAAGTTGTGGCCCTTTGTGCTGAATTGACATGTTTAAGGAAATGTTATGAGCCTTTGAAGCCTATGGTTGCATTCTTGCAACGGTTTCGCTCAAATGACGTAGGTGATCAGTCCTTGTTATCATTTGGTAAACGTGCACAACATTTTTTTTGAGTGATATCGAGCTCAAATAAAAAACACCTTAATAGTTTTTTTGAAGAATGATGATGATATTCTAAAAGATATCAACATTGTTTAGTGAGAACTGAAAAATGACTACGCTATGGCATTTGCTAAAGCCTAGCCCTTATCCCTATCGTTAGGAAATGAATATCCTTTTGGAGCCTTGACACATTGCCCGGGGTCCTCGGTCTATGAGTAGAAGTGGTGCAGGTTATGTGCGTTCCACATTCGGGGGATCGACCTCCTGTCTTGTGCTTCTAGGACATAGGCTACATTCTGGTGTACTCCTATAACCTTTTATGGTCCTTCCCAGACAACACTCAACTTTCTTTGTGGCTCCGAGTGACTGGACTCGTTCTTTATTAGTATCCATTCTCCGACTTTGAAGTTTTTCACTCGCACTAGCCGATTGTAAAAAAATTTCGGTGCGAGCTTTGTAGACCGCTTGACGGAGTTGGGCGGCTTCGCGTTTTTCATCGAGCATGTCTAGATCCTGACATCGTTCTACCTCGTCGGTGTTTTCATCGACATCCATCGCTCACAACGATTTTATCATGATTTCGAGTGGGAGCACCGCCTCCATGCCATACGTCAGAATGAAAGGTGTTTCCCGTGTGCTATACCTCGAGGTGGTACGGTACTACCAGAGCACCGTCGTTAGATCCTCGAGCCAGGATCCTTTTGACCTCATTAGGCGCTTCTTGATCCCATTAGCAATGGTCTTGTTTGAAATCTTGGTCTGGCCGTTGGATTGGGGATGTGCGACTGAGGTGAAGCGATGGTGTATTCGTTTTTCCTCGCACCATTATTTAATGGGATTGCCTTCGAATTGAATTCCATTGTCTCTTGTTAGGACTTTGTGGGTGCCAAATCGTGTCATGATGTTCGTACATATAAATTTTATCATTTGTCAGCCCATGACTGTAGCCAGTTGAAACATCCAAAAATTATGACCCAAAAAGTTCATTTTTGATTTAAGTAGAAACAGTATTCCGAAACATTGTTCATACAACCCAATGAAATAAATATGTCAAACATCATGAAAATCAGAGTATGTCCCATAAACAGAATCCATATTGTGTGTGTGATGCAGTCAACCTGAGCTCTTCCCCTTGGAGCCGGAAGTACCTGAAACATAAACTAAAATCGTAAGCACAAAGCTTAGTGAGTTCCCCAAAATACCACATACCATACATATCATATAATGGGCTCCACCCAAATGAGATACGGGCCCGCCCACACTCAAATAACGGGCCCCGACCACACTCGAATAATAATTAGATACGGGCCCCGCCCATACTCGAATAACGGGCCCCGCCCAATAAACATACATATACAAGCACATACAAGTATCACACAGACAAGTATAATATCATAACCAAACGAGGGTCGGCCTTGGTGCCTTAGACCCACCAAACCTAGTGAGGAAAATCACCTCGAAAAGATGAATGAAATGAATGATCCCGGACTGCTGGTCCTACAGCTCCTCGAGCTATCAGTTGCCACATAAAAACTAATTAACATTTTGCATCTACCTCATAACCAAAAATCTCTACTTGGGGTAAAAAGACCATTTTACCCCTAACCTAGCTTGGTCCAAGAATGAAGCCCATAACCACAATCCAATGGGCCCAAAAGTTAAACAATCCATCAAGGCCCAAAATATGGCCCAATTTCCATTTGGGCCCAAACCCTTCACATGGGCCTTAGCCCAAGGCCCAAAAACTCCC